CAAAAGCAGAGCACAATACAAGCAATTCCTTTAAGATCGATTTCACCTAATGCATCCTAAAACATCCTTTACTCGTGTTAAATCTTTCAATACTAATCTACTGATTCCGATACTTGGAAAGGTTCCAGCTTTCTGTAACTTTCTGTAAGCTTTCTAAGCTTTCTGTAACAAATAATTTACCAAAGCTGAAACCTTCCAAAGTATCAGAATCAGTAGATAAGTATTGAAAGAGTTAACAACACAAGATTTAACAATTAACATTTAACAACACATTTCTGAAAGCTACAAGTGCATCAAATTCCACTCTATTATTCATTGCAAATACGTAAGGAAACAGTTTTAAAGAAGCAAAAAAAGTTTGGCGTGAGTGGGACTCGAACTTGGGGGCAAAAAATGCAGGTTCGGGATTCTAGCAGACTGTCCATTAGGGCACTGAAGCAGTTGCTAGGAATGCGTGTAAGGAATAAGGAATAAGGTAAAATTCAAGGTGACTTTCTATGCCAAATATCTTGCGTTTGCGAAGCCTTTTGCAAAAACTAAAAACAGATTCGTGATCCCCATGGCCAATTCTATAAGATGGACTTGGTCTAAAGTCAAAAAGCTAGTTTGACTGCTTTTCCCTTAGCAGATCTACGAATGGAAAATGATCTTGGAAAAATGGATTACATATAAAACAACATCCAAAAGAAAAACATCTGAAAGTGGCTCGACAAGTGATTGGAGTCTTTAGTCCATCGATTTCTCCAATCCCATTCTTCCAAAATGATTTTAAAGTGGATTATACACAAGAAATAGCTGGTAGTTGTCCTATCTGTGTGCAGAGAAATCATTTAGCCCATCGATTCCCCAAGCAATACCCCATCCTCTACACCCATCCTTCACCCTTGACCACTCGCTCCTCTCATCCCCAAATCTCACTAGCCCTTCCTTCTCCCCACGTGTTTATCGAGTTCTCCTCCTTTTTCCTCTTTCTCATCTCTCAAGGTCATTCACGGTCACACGATCTCTCCCCCATTCTTTTCCTCAATCTTTCTTCTTTTCCGATCACTTACCCATCTCAATACATCTTTCCTTTTTATTTCAATGCCCAAAATACAATTTTCTTCTTTTTTTTTACTTTGTTCTTTTCGAGCCCAATAATTTCTATCTTTTCTTTTCTTTTCTTTTCTTTTTCTCATATTTTTCACAAGATCGTGTGACCGACTCTTTTCAAAATGAAATGAGATTTAAATTTATCCCCGCACTCACATGAAAAAGATTATCAAAGATTAGATGAAAGTGAGGAAAAAGCAAGAATGAAAGTTATCAAATGGCTTGTTCAAAAATGAGACAAAGTCAAAGCTTGAAAAGATTGTAAATCTGAGAAAAACAGAAGGTTCAAGTTTTGTTTTTATCTTAGAATTTTAAAAAGATAGAATATTTTCCCATTTAATTTTTTTGTATCATTTGATGATGAATCAATGATGCTAAAATTTAGCTAATCAAGAGAATTGGGCTAATGAGAATTGGCATTGTGATTATGGTAAAATGGAAGCATTTTCGAAAACTTTAAATAAGCTGAAGAAAGTTGTTATCAATGGTACTAAAGTGAGCTTTATTGTCCTCATAAATCTTGTTTTCTAATTGGACAAGCATCTGGCAAACAGATGGACGAAATCTGTAAAATGATGGAGTGAATATGGGGAAAAGAGAACGCCGAAATGTCTCTCATCGATAAACAAAAGCTTTTGTTTTGCTGTTTCGACGGAGAATGCACACAATTCCACGACAACCATCTTTCCATATTGTCGAGATAAAGATCAAAGTTTTTGTGCAATGAATACAAGGTAAGTAGGTAAGTAAAATGAATCAACAAGCAGCTTTAGTTGGTAAGACTTATTGTTATTGGGTTGTTGAATTGAAAACTGCGGCCTATTGTCATATGTGACAGTTTGAGCACTTTCTTCAAAAGAAACTCATTCTGGGGTCAATAGAGAAGCTGTAGAGAATCAAAAATCAAGCTTATATCCAAATTTTCAGAACGATTCAAAAACTGGTTTTCAAGAAATGCCAAATTTACGAATTCTCACAAAACTTGCATTTTAAGCGAAACTACTAAGTGTATCTTTTTGGAAATTTGGCTATAAGCCTAATTTTTGATTCTCTACAACTTTTCTATTGACACCAAAATGGGTTTCTTTTGAAGAAAGTGCTCAAACTGGGACATCTCCAGTCCTCCATTTTTGAGTCTCACACTTGTCTCACACACAAACCAAAATCCTACTACGAAAGAGGAATCCGCAAATTGCCTGTAAAATGGGCAGAAGTCGTCAATAATAATGGAAATTATAAAATTAAAACCTACAACTTAAAATGATGATAAAGTTTTACCCAAAAAAGCTAATAAATAAAAAAATAGTTAAAAACTTGTCTTGCACAGCGTTTTGATTCAATAGTTCTCATTCAAACAAATCAAATTTTAAAGAATTATAAGACTATTCAGGCTTAGCCGTTCGAATTGTTGATTTTGAATGCTTCAAATTGTAAAATTTATTCAAATGTGTCAATTGTTTGATCAAAAGTCAACTTTATTCAAAAATTTAGCAATATCACAAATTTATCTTAGAAATACAAACGATTCGTCAAAAATTGATCACTTAAAACTCAAAAAATCTTTTGAAAAAGCTACCAGTTATAAAGAAAAATTGATTCCAAATTGATAAGCTAATCTTTTATTAATAAACTCTAGCAAAGCTGTTAAAAAGCTATCGTTAAAGCAAGCACATCAAGAATTCTTTTCAAAAAAACTTTCAAAGCCTCTATGAGGTCACATGTCAATCGTTTATTAATCAAAAGTCCGAAAAGCTCAAAAAGTCATGCACTTCCACGTGTTTCATTGGAAAGCATGTGATCGGGAATTCAAAAAAGAAAAGAACTAGAAAAGAACTAGAAAGAGAAAAGCTTTCCATTCAGAAAAGAGAAAAAAAACGCCCAAGTAGGAAAAAGATTGAGGGAAAAACTACTGGCCATTAGTGGAAATATTGGGAAAATTTGGAGATACAGGATTTTCTTCTAAAAAAACGACTGAAAGAAGCTCTCTTTCTTTTTCGTTGGCCAAACGGGGATTCTTTGAATGGATCGCGGTTGGAGTTGTGCCAAAAATGGCCGCTCCAAGACCATTTTCCCCCATTGAGCCACCCATTGGTCAGCTGTAAATATAGACTTCTTTCAGCGACGCGTCGCAAATTTGAATCCAGGAAAAGAATAAGGAAGGAGGGGATTTGAAAATAAAGAAAAGGAACCAAGGAAAGTTAATACAAAGAACTTAAAGGGCCTTGAATGCCTTGAATGGGAAAATAGCGTAACTTGTCCCAACAACTAGTACAGAATACGAACAGATTTGAACTGAGCAAAACAATGAGCTAACAAGTTACCAGTTAAACTTTGCAACGGGTCAAAAGGATTGATCTTTTTTGTCTTACCGTATCGCTCAGGGAATTCAAGTTATGGTGAGCCTGATTGGCTTAATCTTGTAAATGACTTGCTAAATATGCTTTTATAATATTAAGTTGAGGAAAAAGTTCTGACTCAGCTGCGAAAAATTCAATTTTCATGCATTTTTGCTGGTTTTTCGCGCCTATAGTGTTGTACCAATCTTAATTTTTTATTCCAAATGAGTTTTCAAGAAAAAGAGCTTCGAGTTTCCCCCCCCTGTTGAACCAAAAACATTGGGGGGAAGTGGAGAAGCCCCCCCAGAAGTTTTGTCCAACTGAAGGAGTGGTACTTCCGCCCTCAGATTGTGGGGGAGTTGGAATTGGTTACTTTGAGAAATAATTGTCCCTTTTTTTTCCCCCCCCCCCCCCCCCCCCCCCCCCCCCCCCCCCCCCAAATCCCCCCCCCCCCCCCCCCCCCCCCCCCCCCCCCCCCACTATTTTTTTTTTTTTTTTCCTCCCCCCCCCCCCCCCTAAAAAAAAAACAATTCCCCGCTTTTTTCCCCCCCACCTTAAAACCGAAAAACTCGTTCAAAGCTATTTTTTGCATTTTTGCAAAGAAAAGGAACCAGGAAAAGATAATACAATGAACTTGAATGAGAAAATAGCATAACTTGTCCCAACAAGTAGTACAGAATACGATGCTAATAAGTGAGCTAACAAGTTACCAGTGCTAATGAGCTAACAAGTTACCAGTTAAACTTTGCAATGGGTCAAAAGGATTGTCCTTTTTTGTTTCGCCTCATAGAAATGCGATTTTCTGTCGGCAAATTTGATTAAACTGGAGGTTCCTAATAAAATGTGATTACAGAATTTGAGACTCATTCAAATTGATTAGCGTATCTAGAAATTAGAGAAACATCCGATGACATCTTTTTTTAAAAAGAAAGCATCGTTTTTTTGATGCTATTTATCAAAAAAAAAACATAAGGAATCATAAAATTTTATGAAAAACGATTTCTCAAAAATCAAATTAGGTTTTTTGCCAGGTGTATCGCGACTCTCAGATTTGCAAAGTCATATAAACATTCTAGATACGCTAATCAATTAGAAAATGAACTTGGCTACAGGAGACATACTTAACAATCGCCTCTAAAAATTTCATACGGATTCATTGAGTTCTCGCTGAGCTAGACCCTCAGACGTGAGTCGCGGTCACTCTACAGAGTTGGTCTCTCTAAGATACTTGATATTCGTTTAACTATCGATTTAAACTTCGATAGCTTGCTGTACAGAGTCATTCAAAAAACATCTTCGATATCAGCATGAAAAACTCTAACAGATTCGCTAGATCTGGTTCAAAAAAGTCACTTATAAGTTGGAACTGTTCCCGGCCAAATAACAAGTTTAAAAGCTAACTGCAATTTCTCAATGATCATTTGAATTCACATTGAAGAATAGAAGAAGAATTGAATTCACATTGAAGAATAGTGTGCGTGAATTAGTCGGCAGTAGTTTTTGCTTAATTACATTTTTTCTGCAGTTTTAAATCAGAGTCATTTATTTGCAAAGACACACATTCTCATTTCATTTGTGCCTCTCCTCAAAATCACAATAATATGGCTTTGATGTAACAACGGTGCCCATCGTTTTCTCAAGCGAAGGAAGGGTTTTGGAAGATATCTGAATGATTGTATTGTAAATTGCTAAAGCTTGACACTGGCAAAGCTTGACACTGACAAAGCTTGACACTGGCAAAGCTTGACACTGGCAAAGCTTGACACTGACAATTCTGAAAATCTTACTTTGAATCGTTGAAAGAGATTTGCCAGGAATGAATAGAGTTCCAATTTCGCCATTCCCTCTCCAGCACATTGTCGCTTCCCAACGGAAAACGGGACAAGTTCGGGACGATTTTGATAGGATCCATCGGGTTTCAAGAAACGATTTGGATCGAATTTGTATGGATCGGGGAAGATCTAAAATTTGCAACGATTTTTGCGGCAAAAAAAGACTTTAAATAGAAAGCTTGATGTCAATTAAATCTTGTCAATCTGTCAATCTGTCAATCTTGAGCTGAATGTCAATTATTCCGTGCTTTATTCAACTGTGGAAACTTAAAATATTCAGCCTATTCTACTGACAAACTTACTATAATTGCAGTTTTCATTACAGTTTTCTCTTCCGGTATTTGTTTTGGCTTTAAGGTGATAAAATGATCCTTTCAAATTATCGCGGTTCTTTAAAAAACGTCAACTTCTAAATCAAAAATTTCAACGGTACATTATCCGATTGGATTACTTTTGGTTTTATTCGATTGTGCTTGAAGTTAACTGGATATAACGTTAGTAAAAACCGGTCCATTGGCTATCGTTATATAGAGATTCGACTGTACTTCAATGTTCCAAAACCAGAACCAGAACAAAACCGATGTTTCAAATTTCAGGTAAAGTTAAAAAGATTCTAGAAGATAGGGAAAGCTTTTCACAGCACAGTTTTTCTTTTTTCTTTACCAAAGATAATTGTGCTTAAAAGTTGAAGCAAAATCTTCTTATTAGCTTTTTAAATGCTTCAAGATGTTTGCATTTGAGAACAAAGTACACACCAAATTTTCGGCTGTGTTTGTGGTGCTTGCGACTATTTTTCCAGTCACTTTATCAAGAGTTTATCATTTCACTATTGGAGCTGTACTTACCTAAATAGCTGTTTGTGGGATAAAGATAATGCTGTACTTATCTAAACATTCTAAAGCTTGTCATCAATTTAAAGAAGACTGCAATGCAAAAGAACACCTGCAGCTGGCTGGCAAAATAGTCTTAAGCAAGTTAGCAAGCAAGAATTTGTACAAAAAAAGCAAGTCAATTCCTTCTAAACTAACCTTTTCATCGTACAAAACACTGGAGATTTGTGGAACCATAATGGTTCCAGCAGGGATTTTGTATCCTTTAATCTCAACTTCTTCCGAATTCAATCGACAGAGGTTTTGAGGAACAAGATTGGCAAGTCGTTGAACTTCCTGAATCATTCCTTTTTGAGAGATGATTCTTTAACCTACACTAATCACAGCATTGGTGTAGGGTAGAGAGTTTTTATCGCTCATTGTAATCTTTCGATCCGATTTAATCACTCGATCCAACTCTTCGTGAATTTTCGTTTGCACATCCGGGTTGTTCATGATGTAGACAATTGACCAAGTAAGGGTGTTTGAGGTGGTTTCCATTCCTAAAAACAGAAAATTCGCGCAGCTTCGAAGAATAAACCCAAGTCAAGCTTAACCGGAAACGTGAGTTTATTTTATCAGCCTTCTACATTTTTCAGAAAGTTCAAGAGTTAGAACTTATTGTTACTCTTAATTTAAAGATTTCTCTCGGATTATGGGACATTTGATACGCGCCCTGCTGCCTTTGCCATTGGCAATCCAACTTTGAGCTCAAATATCTTGGTGTTGGGCTGTATAATTTAAATAGTTTTTGTACCAATCGACAGAGAAAGACTTGGCGCATTGAATGATACCAAGCATGTTTGAATTGGACAGCCAAACATCAAGATATTTGAGCTCGAAGTTAGATTGCCAATGGCAAAGGGGGGGCCCCGCATACAAAAGATTCCACAATCGCCCCGTCTCCTCCCTTTGCCATTGGCAATCCAACTTTGAGCTCAAATTTCTTGGTGTTTGACCGTCCAATTTAAATAGTTTTTGTACCAATCGACAGAGAAAGACTAGGTGCATCTAATGATATCAAGAATATCTAAATTGGACAGCTAAACATCAAGATATTTGAGCTCGAAATTAGATTGCCAATGGCAAAAGGGCGGGGCGCGTATCAAATGTCCAATAACCTTCTCTCGTTCTTGTTGTAAATGTTCCCCCTTGTTCTGAAATCTGAAGTAACAAGACTAAGTTTGACAAGTTTGCAGATTTCTAAGTAGCTAAAGATAAAGATAAAGATAAGCAACATCTTAAGATTTTAAATCAGGATCAGCTCTGAGACCGTCTTTAGCCCACATAAACACAGCACTTAAACTGGGCTTGGTTTACCATATTGTTTTTGCTTTTCAGCCATCTAATCACTTACCCGCGGTCCAAATATCGAAAATCACTGCCTCAAGTTGTTGCTCACTGAAATTTCACCATTTTGCTCTCCTTGTCTTCCCATGGAACTCACAAATAGAATTCCTCTTGTTTCGTCCCTTTTTTTCTTTCCCATTCTTTCAAATAACTTTCCACGAAATCCTCCGAACTCTAAACTTCTTTTCATTCAATAAATTGATCTCTTTTTCTCACATCCACACCATAATTGATCTGTTTTCTCTTTTCAGCGATTTGCTTTCGTACGAATCCATAAAGGACATCTCGATCGGCAAGCAAACGATTATAAAAACCTGGAAGAAATAAAGAATTTGTAAGCTAAACTTTTTCACTTACCATTTATAAAAGGAAGGCTTTTGATTATTGGAGAACAGCTGGCCAAAATGATTAACGGGTTTTGCAATTTGTAGACTAGTTGACGAAGGGCCGCTTTGAGAAGGTCGAACTCGTGAAGATGCTCCTAAATCCAGAGTTTAAAGGTATTTTCTATTTTTAAATATTGCATATGCATTATTTATATATTTAACTTCAACTCTTCACCTCATCAAAACGATATCCGAAAAGAATATTGTTGATCACCGAGCCAACGGCGATGTCGAACTCATTCTGAAAACAATTTGAAACATTTTAAGCCAATGCAATCGTAACTTTGGGTTCGTAATTGATAATAGAGTCCTCCGTTTTTTAAAAGGTGGGTGATTTGGAAAGCTACCGTAATCTTTCTTCAGGTTTCCGAGCTTTGTCTGTTTTTCATAAAAGCAAAGAAGTTTGTCGGCGGCAGGACTTGAACCCACCGCAAATGGTGTCAGGGTTTTGTAGCCTGGCACACTACCCTCTAGGCCACCGCTATTCTTTACTCATTCGCGTGTGGCACGCTCTTATGGGCTAGAGGGCGATTTTTCGAAAATGGGCGAAACTTCAAATGCATTTTTCCTGCCAGAATTTTAATTTGGGCAAAAACTGAACAGATATTTGAAATGCCCATATCCGACTGATGCTTGTACTCTGAGCTTATCCCGAAACGTCAGCCCCAGTTTCGATTGTTCCCTTGTAAGGCACAAAGCAATCACTAACTAGATCGACTTGACGAACTTACATTTGGAAATATGAAAAGAGTTTGTGAAAGATTTGGTCAGTAAAGGATTCACTTGTCATTTCAAACGAGGCAACTCACTTTTCCGGAAAGAATAGAATACAACATGAAACTTGAAAAATTGCTAAAAACTTTCAGGAGTCACTTAAGCTACTGAACCTACAGATTTAACAACTTCAACCTACTCAACTTACAGATTTAACAACTTCAACCTACTCAACTTACAGATTTAACAACTTCAACCTACTCAACTTACAGAATTAACAACTTTAACCTACTCAACTTACAGATTTAACAACAAACCTGCATGTAAACGTTTTCCTTTTGCGTGGCGAGTCTCTCAAGGAGAAAATCCACCTCGATCATCACCTAAAAACAATAATTCACAGAAAAAAAAAGTTGAAATTTTACCCGTTCTTCCATAATATTTCTACCCATTCCAAAATCACGTAAAGTATGCAGAGTCAAGCTGAATTACCATTACACAAGCTTTCTGTGTGGAATTACCGCCTTTGTTCTCGCCACAAATCTCCCTGTGAGCTGATCACCCCGAGATCGCCACCTGAAGCATATTTTGAATGATATGTCAGGTTTTTTTTAAAAGTTCAGATAGTTTTTCAATTTACCTTTGAAATCTTTCATGAAATCCCCAAAGAACCAACGATCCACATACTTTTCCCCGTCTTTTATAAAGGTTTCTTTGATGATTTCATAGTCGGCAATTGAAACAATCGGGAGACCGCCTAAATTAGGAAATTAGGAAAAGAATATTAACTAGTTGTTTTGCTGTTTAAGCTGTTTTGAGTCAGCTGTTCGGTCAGCTTTTTAAGCTGTTTTGAGTCAGCTGCTTTGTCAGCTTTTTAAGCTGTTTAAGCTGTTTGGTCAGCTGTTTAAGCTGTTGAGTCAGCTGTTTTGTCAGCTTTTTAAGCTGTTTTGAGTCAGCTGTTTTGTCAGCTGTTTAAGTTGTTGAGTCAGCTATTTTGTCAGCTTTTTAAGCTGTTTAAGCTGTTTGGTCAGCTGTTTAAGCTGTTGAGTCAGCTGCTTTGTCAGCTTTTTAAGCTGTTTTGAGTCAGCTGTTTTGTCAGCTGTTTAAGCTGTTTAAGCTGTTTGGTCAGCTGTTTAAGCTGTTGAGTCAGCTGTTTTGTCAGCTTTTTAAGCTGTTTTGAGTCAGCTGTTTTGTCAGCTGTTTAAGTTGTTGAGTCAGCTATTTTGTCAGCTGTTTAAGCTGTTGAGTCAGCTGTTTTGTCACCTGTTTAAGCTGTTTTGAGTCAGCTATTTTGTCAGCTGTTTAAGCCGTTTTGAGTCACTTATTCTATCAACTTGACCGGAAAGTCTTTTTCGCTTTTTTTAAACTTTTTGAAATAAATAATGAACCAATCGATCGACGATTTGCTTTAACGTAAAGTCCTCTTATTTATTTACAAATTGCTCTTTAAGAAAGCTTGTGTTAGTTAATTTTTTTTTCGGTTATTCCAGTCATTAAATATCGAAAATATAAAATTTGATCATTTTTCAAACAACTCACAAATCCAATATGTATGCACCGCTCCAAAATCTCTTTTCCACCTCTGATAAGCCTCATAGCCGGGACTTTTCAACAACACTTCCAACAGGTTACCGACGATTGGAAGAGGTGTTGGACCTGTAAAGAATGGAATCCTTTTGAGTGAATCGCTTTCTAAAATGTCCTTCAAAGAAACAAAACTACCGGAACGGCTGGCCGACTGGCTTGCATGCTAGTCTCTAAAGCGAACAGCTGTTAAGCGGCAAGTTCGACCCCTGCTCGAGTTAGTTAATTTTTTTGCTTTTTTCATCGAATGTTCAGAACTTTACTAGATCAATTTGGGTTTTACTAAATTAGCTTTCAAAAGCATAGAAAAGTAATAAAACTGCTTATTTGAAGCATTGAAAAAGCATTTTTTAGAATACAATTACTTGAGATTTACTTGCCGCTTTACTCAAGTAAAAAGTTACTTACTTATTCAAGTAATTACTTTTTTGAGGCCACAGTCTAGTAAAGAATGACTGAAAGGTGAAAATATTCAATAGAATTTATTGAGATTGTCAAGCAGATGATTTTGATCAACATGCGGTAATGCGGTAAAAGTACAACTTCGGAAAAGTTACCTGGCGGGAAATTTCTTCTTTTCCAATAAAACTCGTAGAACAAGTATAATGTAATAAAAGCAGCAAATAATATTTGTAACATAGCTGAAATATATCTATTTTTTAGATATCTGAAAAGTGACAAACGAAATAAAATTGAGTTTTCGTCCATAGGACAAGGACAAATGCTCACCGAAGACAACGAACGGATTCAAAAAGATGCCGCGAGGCCTAGACAAGAAAGAAATTAAATTAAAATTGAAGCCTAGACAAGAAAGAATCTGCAATTCAAAAGTCAGACTGATAATTTCAAATTTATATTCAAATCAACTTCAAATCAAAGCCTAGACAAGAAAGAATCTCCAGTTCAAAAGTCAGACTGATAATTTCGTTTATAAATAATGTATTCTTCGATAAATCTATTCCCAAAATGCTTGCCAAGCTTGTCGGAGGGGATAAACTGTCCGAATAATTGCTGAAAAGGCCTAAATCTTTGTCTATACAAGCCCAAACAAGGAGAAATGCTCACCGATGACAACAAACGAATTCAAAAAGATGCCGCGAGGCCTAGACAAAAAAGAAATTAACTTCAAATCGAAGCCTAGACAAGAAAGAATCTGCAATTCAAAAGTCAGACTGATAATTTCATTTATAAACAATGTATTCTTCGATAAATCTATTTCCAAAATCAATCTTGACCTTGAAAGTCTAATATTTTTGAGAGAAAAATAAGAAACACTCTTTGATTTTCTTTGATTTGTGCGAGAAAATCCCTTACTTCATTGAGCATTCATTGAGTTTTTATCAGGGTAAATGGGGGTGGGTTTTGTCAAAAAAAAAATACGATCGCTGTACTCTGTGTGTTGTTCAAATTAAACCCTTTTCTGTGCGATTTTGTGCTGTGTGTGCGATGCGATCGCTGTACTACAAATCTACAAAGCCACTATCAGTGTGTAGGAGAATTTTCAAAAGTTCAAGAAGCAAACAAAATTCCCCCAAAAACAGCACAAAATCGCACAAAAAGGGATAAGTGTTTCTTATTTTTTTTCTCAAGAAATATTAGACTTTCAAGGTCAAGATTGATTTTGGGAAGAATATCAAAGAATACATTGTTTATAAATTTGAAATTATTAGTCTATCTTTTGAATTGCAGATTCTTTCTTGTCTAGGCTTTGATTTGAATTTGATTTGAATTTGATTTGAATATAAATTTGAAATTATCAGTCTGACTTTTGAATTGAGTTTTTGTTGTCTAGGCTTCGATTTGAAGTTGATTTCTTTCTTGTCTAGGAATCGTGGCATCTTTTGATTTGAATCCGTTCGTTGTCATCGGTGAGCATTTGTCCTTGTTTGGGCTTGTATGAACGAAAACCCAATTTTTTTTTGCGTTTGTCACTTTTCAGATATCTATCTATAAACATAGATATTTTTCAGCTATATTACAAATATTCTTTGCTGCTTTTATTACATTATACAGTCGAACCTCTCTATAACGAACCTCGATATAACTAAACCTCTCTATAACGTAAGGCGTGCCCGGTCCCGGCCGACGTTAAGCTATATAAAACGGCACTCTATATAACGTAAACCTCTATATACCGTAAGCTATAGCCGTCCCGTGAGTTACGTTATAGAGAGGTTCGACTGTACTTGTTCTACGAGTTTTATTGGAAAAGAAGAAATTTCCCGCCAGGTAACTTTTCCGAAGTTGTACTTTTACCGCATTACCGCATTACTGATCAAAATCGTCTGCTTGATCAATTTCAATATATTCTATTGAATATTGTTGATAGATCTGAGCATTAATTTTCACATTTCGGTCGATGAAAACGAGGGGGTCTTTCCCGTAGCACAGATGCCACCGCAAACCATCACCGATCCTTACACGTCTTTCTTGTGGCATCCGAGAATCACTTGGCGTCTCTGATTTTTATCCATCGGCAAGATTTCAGCTGAAAAACAACAGTGATTCCAACAATTTAATAATTAAAATATTAAAAAAAACATGAAAAAGACCAAATAAACGGCAAGCCACTGGCGAAACAACTTTCCTAACGCACTGAAAAACACTCCTGAAACTTTTGCGACACCTTGTTTGCATTCGGTGCAGAAAATTTTTGAAATCCGCCTTTTGAGCTATGATCGACACTGTTTCCCAGAAATTGGCCTGGTCATTGACAGCGTTATAGTGAGAGTAAATAACTTACTGATATATCGGTATTCTTTAGGTTTTCTGCTTGTTCTATTTGTAAAAATAAACGACCCGATCCGGGAAGTGGGAACCGTTGGAGGAGAGCTTAAGTTCCACTCTTAGTCCTCTTTCTGCAAAGTCAAAACTTCAAAACCACTCCTACAACACCTATGACAGTTGCAAATTGCAAAAAAAAAATGAAGTTTGAGGTAGAATCAAAACGAAATTTATTTCTCAAAACAATGACACCCTCGATCCTTCCCTCCTCTGTGGCGGCAAATTTCTTGCGGCCGGCAAGCTCATTTTCTTTCCCAGTCTAGCGATATTCTTGACAATCTCCATCTTCTGCCATCTTTCGTTTTGATTTCCGAGAATCGTTCCCTGCACATCACTCAACATTCTCCGTCTTTTGTCAGCTAAACCAAAAGAAAGTTGAAAACTTTGATCATTATAACCTTTAACACCAAGTAGACTTTTTAATATACGACGAAGAGATCTTGATCCAAAGATCAAAATCTGCGAGTTGATGCTCGTGTGCCAGCTGACCGTTAGCAAAATAAGTGACGGAACTGAAAGTTTGGGGTAGAATAATTTCCGCAATTTTTTTTGCGCAACTGGGTCGTTTGCGCAACTCTCCATAACTTTCTTCTAAGTCAGGCAATCATGATTTTGGTTTCATTTTGTTGCACTTATTGAGATCTACAAAATAAATCAAAATCATAAAGATTGGTCCATTGAGAAGAAAGTTATGACGAGTTGCGCAAATATAATGACAAAAATGAGCCTACCCCCAATAATCTTCAAATCAACCTATGGAAAAGAAGACTTGCCTTAAAAAAAAAGACTTTAAAGGATTTTAGCAGTAATTTACCATCCCGTTTATAGGTTGATTTAAAGATTATTGGCGGTAGGCTAATTTCTGTCATTATATTTGCGCAACTCTCCATAACTTTCTTCTAAGTCGACCAATCTTTATGATGTTGGTTTCATTTTGTTGCACTTATTTAGATCTACAAAATGAAACTAAAATCATAAAGATTGGCCGACTTAGAAGAAAGTTATGACCGGTTGCGCAAAAAAATTGCGGAAATTAGTCTACCCCGAAAGTTTTCAATTAAAAATATAATCTTTTCATTTTCTGGTTAATTAAACCGCTTTTCTGGAAAATTAAGGATTAAGTACGCCAGAAAAGGTGTGTTTAGCCAGATTTAAGCAAAAAGAACACCAGTCCGGAGTATATTTATAAACCCAATAAATCACTGTATGTTTAAAAAAAAGTTCAAGTAAAACAGACTCATCGTCGGAGCTATCCACCCGCACATCGATGCAGCGAACAGCAAAATTGGGCCAACAAAGAAGAATGCAAGGTTTAGAGACTAAAACTTCTCTTAACTACCAACTTTTGTAGCTGAACTGCACTTGTAACATGAGAATTCTCATATAGGTGACATGGGTTGCTCGTGTTTTTCGACTCTTGATTTGCAGCTTCAACTTTTTGCTCAAGAATATCAAATGAAGAATTAGAAGGAAAACTTGGAGCCCAATTAAACAGTTGATTACAAATACAACTAGGGCAAAAAGTTCTGAAAATTTCTAGAATCTTTGGAAAAAGTAGAGTTTACTTTGTATTTTTGAATCGCAAATCCACAAATAGATGTTTACATTGTTTTGCATTACTGAAGACAACTCGCTGGGAATTTCGAAAGAAAGCTCCTTAATCGGTTATTGGATTTGCTTTCAAATATACGAGTTTCACCTGAGAATTGCTTACTCCATATAATAATTCATCGATAACTGTAGAAAGTAGATTATGAACGAGTTGGTAAAGCCCAGTTCCATCTGGGTTCAGAGTCTAAACCAGGAGCACAGAGTGAGGCATAATTCTCACAAAATAACTCGACCATTTTTCGGTGACAATAAAAAACGGTGACAAACTTTTTAGCTCATAAAAATGTAATAAAAAGATAAAGCTTTATTTTGAGTACAAATAACATTTAACAAGTATCAATTATAACCTTTGATCGTTTACCGATGTCTACCTTTTGCCCGGATGCAGAGATTGAGACGCTTAGTGAAATTTTGGCAATGGGCCTTCTCCGATGGTGATTTTGTTCAATTCTTGGCTTAACGAGCACTTTAAAGAGCCCAAATTTTTGTGAGGTTTTACACAGGCTCTGGACTCTACAATCGACCATACAAATTCAGTGGGTTGAGATTAACTGAATGGGAACTCCTGAGCCGAGATGAAGTCCGGAAAATTCGCCTTACAATAGTCCCGCTCTATGGGAAGGTGCGAAGTCCTGTTGAAAAGTTAAAACTTAATTTCCGAAGCGCTGTTGGGCCCAGGGAAGAATTTTCTTCGGATAAACATCTTTATTGCTTTTGCTCCGGAATCAATGGAGAGGAGTTTTGCCCGTCGCGCAAATAGCCGCCCAAACCATCACAGATTTCGGATTTTGGCAATGTTCAACAATTGGAGAGTTGCCGGAAGAGCTCGTTGACCAAATTCGATCGTTTTGACGATTGTAACTTTGCTCCACTGAGAAGAGCTTCTCGTCGGAGAACAAGATCCGCTCCCAATTTGGTTGACCGCTTGACCAGTTTCAATAACATTTAACAAGTGCCAACTATAACCTTTAATCGTTTACGAAATGTCCACCTAGTTTTCAGGAAAAACCAAAAAACCTACCATAGAAAAACTCTCAAATTTTTTATTTAAAAAATGGTTTTTGAGAATCGCTCGAACGATTGTCCTATATTTTTCTGTATTCTTTTTAGAAATTTTATATCCCGTTAAACTGTTGCAACATTGAAAAGGAGCCAAATCGAAAGGGCAATGCGATCTGACTCTTTGCATATTTGCAAATTTAGATATTAGATAAAACTCAAACGAGGTTACAGTATTTTCCATT